ATTTTCCAATAAAATCTAAGAAATAAATAATTTCATCCAAATCTTATTGTAATTAGATAGATTCCTCATTATGAATGATCACCTATATTCCAAGTTTCTTACCAGCATCCCATAAAGAAAGATTTACTATGGATTTAAACCTAGCCTAAAAAAAAAAGAATGGAACCTCACACCCATTCCACAATGGCTGACACTAACAATATTGATCCTCCTCCCGTTACATCCATGGCTCACACTAATAATTAATTAATAAATTCAATACTAGACAAGTACTTTCTTGGCAAACCCCCTCAAAATTCACAATTAAAGACCCTCCCTCTTCCAGAGCTCGAACCGCATTCTCTTTCCATTTCATCACATTCTTCCTCATCTCCTTCCCGCTTCTTTCCCCAACCACCATCTTCCTTACGAGCTCCTCCACCTTTTCCCTCTTCACATCGTTGTTAATCCCCATCCCCACCACCCATTCCGCACAAACACACCTGCAATTAGTCTGTTGCTCTGTGAAGAATGGCCAACATAAGGCAGGCACGCCAACGGCGAAGCTTTCCATGGATATTCCAATCGGCATGAGTCAAGAAATCTCCCACCGCCGGGTGCAAGAGAAACTGCTCCTGCGCGTACCAGCTCACCATCTTGCCCCTCCCCTTCATCACATCAATAAACTTCGGCGGAAGAAGTGTGATCTCCTCGGTGAGGTGCTCGTTCTTCATCACAATTATGCTGCCAAAATACACGAATACGACCGAGCAAGGATCATGACCGTTGAGCCCTTCGATGCAGTGGGTTTTTTCTGTCCAGAGGTTGGTGTTGATGGATTTGAGGAAGGGTTTCTCTAGAAAATGGTGCGAGAGCAGGATACAGACGGTGGGCAGATTTCACGAATGCAAAACTATTTTTGCATTCGCACATACGAGAAGTTCCAACGGCAGTTTTGCTGCGGTTTTAAATCGTGATCAACAAAATTGCAAAATAAACGCGTGTTTGACTAAATTTGGTTCAGAAAGCCGGCCAAAAAATCGAAACAAACACGCCCTTAATCATTGCATGCTCCCTACAAAGGGTTTGAAAATTTTGTCTCTTTCTTCTCTTCGGCTTTTACTGTCACCATCGAGGGTAGGTCCCTCCTAGGTGTCCTCAAAGCACGCCAATCTCAGCTGAAGTTGACAGATCTCTCGCTGCATCTCTTCTCGAGTAGGCATGGGCATATATCTCCATGGTTGCATGGCTAGGGTTTGAAATGGGAGGTGCAAGAGAGCAAAAGAAAAAGATTAAAGATTGATGATTTTGAAAATAAATAAGGGAAAATTAGGGATAGATAAAAGTTTTGGCTATGGCTTGGAGATAGGAAAGAAAATATTTGGTGGATGAGTAAGGCGAATGCTAGGAAAGTCTATGATAAGACTAGGGCGGTTATGCTAGCTCTGATACCAAATGATACCATAACTAATCAAACCTGCGTTAACGAAAGCAAATTTTACTAAGCAAATGATTAGGGTTACAAACACGACTCAAACGAAAATGAAAACGCAACAACCACTAATCGCCAATTAGGAATGACTAACAGGATCCGATGGTAGCAAGTGTGTTGGCGAGGTGGTTGAGAGTAGTGGTCGCATGGGATGTAGAATAGGTGGGACGAAGGAAGTGGAGATATGGTGGTCGGTGGCTAGGATTAGGAGGTAAAGGAGAAGGGTAGGTTCGCGATTGTCCAGGGAGGCTGGACATGTAGGTGGACGACACTGACAGTGAAGGTAGGTGGTTGCTTATGGCAGATTTGGTGGATGGAGAGGTGTAGGTCGTTGGCTAGCTAGCTAGGGAAGAGAGGGAGGTTGGTGGCTGAGAGTTCAAGAAGGGATGGGGGGTGCGCACCGACGGCTAAGGAGTGTGAAGAAGAGGGTAGAGAAGAAATCAGAGAGGATACATCTTGAAGCAGGATACAGTCAGAATACCACCTGTCGTCGGATACAACCTTAGCAAGGGGAAGAAGACTCCACATGGAATCTGAAAAAGAAAACACACCAAAACATAATTCTAATTCCAACAAACATACATATAAATAGAGAGAAAAATGGGAAAAATTAAAAAGGAAAGTGTCGAGGGCGCCAGTCCCGCCTCTATAGAAAGGCCACTCGGTCTAGCAAGAGGCTGGACCAGAAATCCCTCCAGACCAGTTCAGCCGGCCTTCCTTCTAGCCAACTCCTCACAACGCCGTGTCACTTGCTCCAGCATCAGTCTGCACACTCTCCCTCTCACTTGGGAGCCCACTCTCACATTCATCATATTAGTTGCAACATCTCTAGAAACCCACAAAAGAAGCACACAATCCCCATGTTGCAACCCTTTCTGTCCTTGTCCCTCTATGTAAAACACCATGGTTTCATTTGCGCACCCTCACTACTCTTGCCACCTTTCTCTCTCTTACATGACACACTCTCACATCCACGCTAATTCTCTCCTTTCACTATTGTGTTCTCTCATATTCTTTTCCACTCTTTAATCTCTAATGATATTGACATGCAACTCCCTGAGGTCCTCACTCCTTGCACGAGTGATCTCTTTCTCAAGAATCGAGGCCAACTCTAGTGACATTGCCTTCTCATCTCCTATCATATTCTCTGCACTAGCCTAGATACTTATTATAGTCTAACGTCCCAATAGTCATTGTCAACTCTCCAACCGACTTCACAATAGGATATCCCCCTTGCACATAAATGCAATAAAAACACTAAGATTGTTGATTTTAAAACCCAATTAGTATAACCTTAGTAATATGAACACCAACTCATTGATCTTCAATATGGCTGGAATTTGAAAACCTTCGTGTCATTAATCTTAGATCCAATTGAAGAACGAAGACCTCCGCACTATTTACCTTTAGTTAGGCTAGAGCTTTACCTCCCACCATTGATCTATGACCCAAGTTTAAGGAGATGAATGCTCACCTTCGAAGGCTTTAGCTTACAAAATCCTAAAGATATCTCTCATTATTGTTAGGTGGAGGTAGGTATGGCTATTGTGCGGCTCCTTCATTTCAGGATGCCGCAAACCTCCAACTGAAGATGGATGTGGTCACCATCATTGCAACTAACATAAATGGGAACAAATCAATAAAATGTTTCTTACCCGTGGCTCATATAGGATCCTATAAAAAAATAATAATAAATAATAGAATGCATTAATTATAATTTTTTTCAGAAAAAATAAATAATTATCACATGCAAAATTCCAAAATTAATCCATAAATCAATACTAAATCTAAATAACCACGCTATTTCAAGAAGCATATGAGTGCGTTGCAAATTCAAATTTGCCCTAAGAAGTAACCCAATTGGCAATATCATCTCAAATGTTTGCAAATATCATGTTAAAAGTCTAAGGCCAGGTAATGCATCGAGTACCATGCCAAAGGCATTGAAATATACGGAGTGTACTGCTACTATCTATAGCTCAATTCATATGCATATGATGTCAGCAGCATTGATTTGACAAATCAGCCAATGATCTGCATTGCCTATATTACTTGCTAGTTTGACCTAAGAATATTGCCATCCTGGTGATTCACCAACTAATAATAGAGCTATCTTGTCCAAAAATCAAATTGTAAGATTCAACCTTACAAGTACAATTAAATTCAAAATAATAAAATCTTAAGTTTGGTACTCAAATTGAAATTGGGAATGATAATTATAATCAAGTCTTCTATCTAGGCCTCCAATAGATATAAGCTCCATCCTAATTAATCAATTAGCTAAAAAGCAATACTTATCTGGCTAAACCAATTAAAAGGGATCAAACATAATGTTGACAAACCCCACAAACCAATTTAATTAATCAGTCACCCTATATATATACAGTAAGTTCCAGAGACAAATTATTGAGCTTTCCCCATCCTGAGATTGTATCATTTTGGGACTTCCAATTTAAGTTTTAACCCAATAAATCTTGATCCATTTAAAGTAAACATGCAAAACAAATTATGCTTATTTTTAGTCTTTCAATGGATGTAAACCGAACCTCAAACAAACCTTGAGCCTGCTCCGAAGAAATCAAGTCCCTCAAATTAAAATAATAATAAAAAAAGGGAATCAAATCAATATCTACAATGAGCTCCTTCAAATCAAATTGAAGCTCATTAATAGTTAATGGTTATGTCAAGTTTACACGCCCATTATTGGTCTAGTACTTACAAAATAGCCATGTTATATACCTCTTAACCATTTATACAAAAAAAAAAATTATGATTACTTCCCCACTAGTGAATGAGTTGACATCAAACTTAAAGCTCATTTTTTAGACAATTCTACCCTGTGGAAATCTGAGATGAGGATTGTTAATCAAGCTCAGCAGACGCAGCAGACGTAGCGACTTACAACTATAAAAAACCTTTATGTTAGTAGACTAGGTTTGGCAGTATACCCAAGATTATGAAATTATGAGATCTTGTACAGTTCTACCTTCATTATCTGAATCATTTCCACTCAATTAAATTCATATATAACTACAAAATCTTACGAAAAATTTTAGCCTCAGCAACATCCTTAATCAAGAATGAACTCCTTTGAGCAAGAAAAATAATTTAATATGAGAGATTATGCCTGCAGAAAATCTCGATTCAGCTCTAAATAAATGCTCGACTAAAATCTAAATTAGGAAATTTTCAACAACAACAACAACAACAACAAAGCCTTAATCCCACTACGTGGGGTCGGCAAAATTAGGAAATTTTGATTAAGAAAAAAAAAAAACTAATCCACCTCAAGATGTAAAGTTTTTCAAAAAATATTATCCATGTCAGCCAAGTTTCATTGCCAAACTATAAATCAGCTTTTCAAATTCAAAACTTTGTTATGAAACTATCAAAGCTCCAAATTATACAGATATCTCCCGTATTTATTCAACAGATGTTCCCTTCAATATCCACAATAACTATCAAGCTTGCTTTGGACATATACCTCTTCAATTTATCATAAATACTCAATAGAGCAAAAATAACTAACCTCATCAGCAAACTTTATTAAAATTGTGGTTCTTGGTCTTTGTTGACCTTCCATGGGTACAAAATGTGCCGTCACCACAGCAGGAAAGCCAGCATTGTCTAAAACACCCTTTACAGAAAATAAAACATTTAACATAGCTAATCAGAGTGAGCCCCATGGAGGAACAAAATTGGAAAATGTACCTTCAACTTACCCTTACAATCCCAGCTACAAATGCGCCACAGTTAAATGCTCCCATGTCTTTGGGTATGGATATAAATCTTCATAAACAACAGAGCAAACGTACAAAAAAATTATAAAAAAAAAAAGAAAAACAGCATACTCCTATATCCAGAAAAGCTAACAATGGGATATACACCATCTTACCGGTTCACCAGAAGTTCTTTTTCACTAATCATATATTCGTCCTCATGCTCGGTCCCTTTCTCAAGTGAGTCGGCAACCTGGTCAAAACATAAACAAAAAAAGTATGATTTTGTAAGATCATTTGTTGAAAGAGAGCCAAGTGAATAGTTCATCTCTCTTAGAATTGAAGTACAAGAAATACCCTTTTAACAAAAAGGATTAACTTGCTAAGCAAAATAAGTCAAGAAACTTTGAAGTTAATGTATCAGAAATCCCTTTGGGAACTTGAAAAATTACATTTCCAAACCAAAAGTAAAGTTAAAAAAGTTTATGTAGCAACCTTTCCAAAGAGAACTTTCCACACCGTGGTGTGCACGAAAGATAAAATCCCCAAAAGTCGTGTCTCCCTTCTGTTACCCTGTATAATAATACCAAAAAGCATTAACAAAATGGAAGGACAGGGAAAAACTTGACATGTTATAAATGTGAAAGAGGTGCATGAATCTAAAATAGGAAAAAACCTAGAAAATATCAATAAGAAAAGAAAATCAGAAAGGCACTGCAATTTCAAAAGTAAAATAAGTTTTAAAGTAACTGCAGGAAAAGAAATCTTTAGTAAGCCAAAGTTTCATACAATTAAAAAAAGCAGAAAATTAACTTCACCCTCTACCACTAAAAGAGAGTTCCTTGATGGGAATGGTAGAAAACTTCACAAATAATCAACTCGGTTTAAATTGCATATCCGCCATTAGGATGATTCAAAAAAACATATACTCTAAGAAAAAATATGTATGCAAATCACCCCCTTTTGAAGAGATATATAGTTCTCAGAAAGAACTATAAAAGCGATGCAACAAAGTACATATATGAATCCGAAAACAAATCCAACTCAACTAAATCTACTTAACCTCTGTACCCTATATGACTACAAAGTCATAAAAGCATGTGAAGCAAAATTCATACTTTTCATATTTTTAATGAGAAAAATGTCAAAATGGTCGCCTAACTCATTGCAAGAAGTCATTTTAGTCCCAGAATTTATAGAAGTGTAAATTTAGTTCCCATACTCTTTTAATGGAGGCTAAAATATTAAGAGTATGGGGAATAATTTGACAATTTAATAGACTATAGGGACTAAAATGGCCCAATGTAAATAGTCACGGACTATTTTGGCACTTTACTCTATTTTGAATCTTTTAATTAATATGAACATGTATGTTCAAACTAACATCTATGCACAAATTCAAAGATGCCAATGAGATTACTGCATATATGCATGCACGAACGACTTTAAAAGATACTTCTTTTATTAAGGCACATCTCCCAATTCTCATAATTGACTCAGTTTCATTAAAAATATCAAGCGGTTGCTCTATTTCCAGGCTTTGTAGGCTAAGAAAAAATCTCACGACATCTTGCATCTATAGTATATGAATGAAATTGCAACTTCTCTAACAGATATTAGACGAATTCATGTTACTAACATATTATTGAACAGCATATACGATAGGTTCAACGGGAATTAATTTGCCAATATCTGTAAGTAGTCCTATGCATACCTTTTCTCTATGGCAAAAGAGTTCAAGAACTCTAGCTCCAACAGCATAGCCTGCATCTTCTAATCTGCAATAGTAATGCATGTCAAAGAGGCCATCCCAATCATAATTATTGACATTTATCATAGACTTTCCAAGGAGATTTTTCATAAGCATCAGAATCTTTTGTCGAATATATTATCCAAGCATCATCAATAGACAAGGATAGTGAGAGATTATTTACAATGAAAACAATTTTTTTTTTCTGACGTTTTAAGCTATTTCGCCCATTCTTTTTTAAGGATAGACAACAGAACCAGGGAATAAGCAGAACAAGCATTGGAAGGGGATGCAAGTGGCAGGGAAATTAACACATTTTAGCACAGGGTGAAAGACAAAATATAATTCTAGTAGCAATTCAAGTCGTAAGTGGAGGGCCAACTTATACACGCCTCATTAACTGCTTTAACACAATTAAAATAATATCCTAAACCACAACCAGTAAAAATTTCTAAAAAGCATTTTATTTCAGAATATGCCTTTATTATAAAAAAAAAACTGTTCATGCCACTTTTGACACATAAAGAACTAGCATAAGTTTAAAGTCTATACAATTTTTATGAAAGAAGAAAACAAAAAAAAAAAGATCAAAGTGTAGAGAATGGAGGAATCACTTCCTTATGTTTGCCTTGTATAGCCAGCCACCCTTCTACTACTATTTATAGAAAGAGAAAATGTTAAGAAAGGAAATACGGTACTCCTAATCAAACATAAAGGTAAAGAAAGAGCTATTTATATCAACATTAAGTTTGTATCTTTTTACATTGAAGTATTAGGTGATGCTATTTTCACATCGCATAACTTTGATAAGTGGAGACTCTTCTAAGAAAAAAGTGAAAAGCTATAATACTTACGAAAATTTATAAAATATATGGATTGAGAAACATTAAAAAACTTGACCATATGATAAACAGATTTAGTGAATATAACATTGGTAACTATAAGTCAATACTAAGTCATGTCCTATAAAGATAGCTCACACAAAGGTTAAATTTGAGACAATTATTAGATGACAAATGACTAGAATTTCATTTGATGACTTCTAATTGATTCATATGGAGAGATACCTTCTGTTCGGAAAGTTTAGCATTGCTCCTTTCAGTTAGCATAACCCAAAACACCTTGGTAATAGTTCTGACCATAGAACTACTAAATAAATTGTAGTCAACCCTTTCGCATTATATAAACAATCGAATATATTTGTGCAAATGACAAACTTGGATGCTCTGTTAGAGTTAACTAGAATCAGAGGACTAAAAAAACATGAGATTAAATGTAACACAAAATATCACCTTCGCTCTAACTCCGCAATATTGTCAACTTGAGTCTGATTGTACTGCACTAGTTCCGAAAACAAAAATGCAAAGGCACTCAGACTAACCTGCAAAATGAAATATGTTATTGCTTTATTAAAAAAAGGATGTGCATATTATTACTTATAAGAAAGAATAAAATAAAAAACATTGATTATTTTTTTATGAGAAAAATATATAGTCGAGAATGTAATGATTGTAAGGCTATTCCAAGTGAAAATTTAAATACTCAATTATTAACTTTGCATTTTAAGATTAAGAGTTTGAAGATTAAAAATACAATGAAACACTGTAATATAATTATATGGGACACTTAAAAGATACAAATAAAAGAACTTTAAAATTTTAAAATTTATAATATTCATGAAGAATCTAATTTTATGTGAGATAAAGTAACAAGCATTATTAAAAAAGTGTCAAAAGATGTACTTAGAGAATCAAAATGAAAAGTTTTTTATAAAAAATAGTTGGTTGAAGAACAATAATGTGCAAAATAGAATAACATATAAGAAGTTTTATTATTAAAATTGATTTAAATGCAAAAGCTTAGAGAATTTGAAAAAATATAAGGTGACCCATAGGGAGTCTAAGGAAACTATTTGCGATGCTAAAAAATTCTTTTTTAGCGATTGTTATAATAGATTGAATTTTAAAGAGAGTGAAAAATATATGTATAAATTGGTCAAATAAAGATAAAAGAAAATTATAAAATTTAATTCAAGTAAATTATATTAAAGATGAAATATAAAAAATAATTTTCTTGTATGAAGATATTCAACGTAAATTGATGAGATATTTTGATAAACATTTCAATAAAGTTTTTAAAAATACAATCGACTTTAGTGATCTTAATATCAATAATAATAATAAACCCTTTTATTTTTACCGTCAACAACAACAAAGCCTTAATCCCACTACGTGGGGTCGGCAACGTGAATCTTTTTTCTCCATTGCGTCCTATTTAGTATCATATTTTCATTTAGTTCTAGTAAATTAAGATCATTTTTCATACAATAAGCCCAAGTCTTCCTAGGTCTACCTCTGTCTTTCTTAACACAACTCGAATCAAAAACATCTACTCTCCTAATCAGATCATCATATGATCGACGTTTAATGTGACCAAACCATCTAAAACGACTTTCTCTAATTTTGTCTGTCATAAGAGCTACACCGACCCTATCACGAATATATTCATTTCGCATTTTGTTTCTAAGTGTAAAGGCACTCATCCACCTAATCATTCTCATCTTGGCAACACTTAACTTATTATTATGTTTCTCTTTTAAAGGCCAACATTCAGCACCATAAAGCATTGCAGGTCTCACCACCATCTTATTTTTACCGTCGCACTAATAAAAAAGAAGTTGATGAGGCTTTAAGGAAAATCAATAGTGAAAAATTAGTATGACCTAATAGTATTCCAATAGAAGTGTGAAAATATGTAGGAGATTTGAAAATTTATTGGCTTAGTAAACTTTTTAATATTATTTTAAAAAATAAAAATATGTCCCAGTGAAGGGAGAATATTTTGGTCCCATTTTTAAGAATAAAAGGGATGCACAAGAGTGCAAATTATAGAGGAATTCTGTTAATGTGTCACACAATAAAATTATGGGAGAGAAAAACTAAACATAGGTTCAGACAATACAAATATTTCTCACAATCAGTTTGGATTTATGTTGGGCAAGTCTACTACGAAAGATATACATTTATTGAAATATTTGATGGAGAAGTACAGAGAGAGAGAGGGGGAGATCTACAAATGATTATTATTGATTTAGAAAATCTTATAATAAGGTTGCAAGAGAAGTTCTTTGGAGGAATCTAGAAAAGAAATGTGTTGATATGAATTATATTCAATTCATTAAAGATATGCATACTAGAGTTGTTACTCGTGTTCGAACAAGAGGAGGATTGACCAAATGTTTTGCTATTTCAGTTCGATTACATCAGAGAACGGCTTTAAGCCATATATTTTTGTTTTAGTTATGGATGCTCCTACTAGACTTTTACAGAAGGATGCACCTTGGTTTATGCTTTTAGCTGATGAAATCCTTCTTGTGGATGAGACTAGAAAAAGAATTTAGGAAAAACTTAAATTATAGAGGTCTACTTTAGAGCCTAAAGGCCTTCGTTTGAGTGACCTAAAATTGAACACATGGAATGTAACTTTAGTGGTAGGTTAAACCATGAGTTATCAAAACATTAAAAGCATTGAACATTTTAGATATCTTGAGTTTATTGTTCAAACTAATAGTGATATAGATAGGGATGTAATTAGTAGAATTCAAGTTGGATGGTTCAAGTGTAGGAATGCATCAGACCTATTGTGTGAAAGAAAAGTACCACTCAGACTTAAAAGGAAAATTTTATAAGATAGTGGTAAGAATTGCAATGTTTTACGGCGCAGAATGTTGGCTGACCTATAAATGAGAAGCATAAAACTAAGTTAAGTATTGCTGAGATGAGAATGCCCAGATGGAAGAGTGATTTTACACTTAGAGACAGAATGTGAAACGAATGTATACGTGGTTCATGTAACTCTAATGGTAGACAAGAATAGAGATAGTCATCTTAGATGGTTCGATCACATTAAATGTCGGTCATCTCATGATCCATTTAGGAGAGTAAATGTTTTATATTCAACTTACGTTAAGAAAGGTAGAAATATACCTAAAAATACTTGGGCATATTGTATAAAAAAAGATCTTATTTTATTGGAATTAACTGAAAATATGACACTCAATAGGACACAATAGAAAAAAAGAATTCAATAGTGACTCCACTTAGTGGGATAAAGGCTTGTTTTTATTGTCATTGTAATTTACTTCTCTAAGGACAACAAATATTTTTTTTTCTTTTTAAAATTTCTAAGAATTCAAATTATTTATCCTCCATAAAAAAAACCAATGGAACCCATTTTTAGCTCACTTAAAAGGCTTGGATAAAAAATTCAAAGGGCTATCCAAGTAGGTTTAGAAAAGAATGCCCACAAAAAGGCTTGACTAAGAAGAATAAAGGTCTATTTGAGCCAAAAGGGCAAACAAATACATTTCTCTCAAACATTACATTTCTCTCAAACATTTTGATCCTCTCTCACTCATGCTCTTTCACACCACATATCTCAGTACAGAATCGTAATAATTCTCGTTAATCCCTAACTATAGTAAATCATTCGCATTGTACCATACAATATCATACAGTAATTCCAATCCACAATAGCAACGTCATAAAACCCCCTCTGATTCTTCATCTATTAAGTTCACCCCTTTGATTCTTCATCTATTAAGTTCACCCAGCTACAAAATAATCTATAGAGTATTGTGTAAATTGCTTCCATGATCTGCATTGCCTTAGCTTCACTAAGATCAACGATTAATCTACCACATGCAACTTCATTTTCCGCATCAAATAACCCTGATGCCTCACATTAGCATCCTACGAACCTCATAACCCTTTGATCTAATTGAATCTTATGAAGAGTTTCACAGACCAACCTCCTCGACCATGACAAAATCACAAGCCTCCTTATACTCTTGACTATGGTGAACTCAATGACTTACCAATTGAGTAGCTACGAAATAGACATCTTTTGTGGTCACATTATGTCTTCTCCTATGATGAATCTCAATACCGATCTACTGATCAATTTTTCGGCACCGCAATCAATAATAAATAAAAACTCTATAAGGTAATTTTACTACTTAAATTTCAATGTCATCATATTATCATAAACAAAGAATATCGATATATTATGAAAATCATTATTTTGCCCCAAAGGAATATTGTCCTTGTGGATATTAATCTTATCTTTTCAAATTTCCTCACTCTTGCACATGTAATGATGATTATGTTTCATATAAATCAAATACTTATATTATGCATTATGAAAAGCCTCAAATTCAAATTAAAGAAGCCTACAATAGGCTACATCACGTGACAATCCAACCTAGAAATGCACTTTTACTAAATTTCGTGTAATCCATTGCGCAGGCTCAACAAGCACTTTCAACCAAACAAATCTTTTAACTTTTTTCTAGTATAATAGCATTTTTTCAAAATTAATATCATTCTCTTCATAATAATAGTCCTTATGAAGATGTATGATGAAAATCCTATTTTTTGATAAGGAACTAAACATTACGCGTTATTATTATTTGGGTTTACTACTACACTTGGAGTTATTCCTGAGATATTATTGATAGTTAAAATATAATATATGCCAATAGAAGTGTATGATCTTAAGAATATTGTTGAGTATGAGCCATTTTTCTTTATAGATCACGCATTGAAAAGTTTTTAGATATACCAGAGTTTGTAATCGATCTTTCCCAACTTCCTATTGTGAGTTTTATTCCAATTTATTTCTCATTATTTTAAAAGATATCTTACTTCAGATGACTACAATTTTGCCTCAGTAACACCTAATACAGAATAGATTTGTGCATATTATTAAAAGCGCAATTGGGTATATGCCAATTACAACGAGTCGAACCAAGCCATAACAAAATGAATCAGAATTATTTTTAATCTTTTTTAGCCTTATATAAGAACAAAATTTTCTTACTCTGATAACTCGATTTAATTGGTATATCAATTTTATTTATTTTCTCTCGAATAATATCAAGTTTAAATTTCAGCATTTATTAGTATTGCACGGGATTAGATTAACTTTCAAATATTTATCCTCATCCTTGTAATTTTATGTATATAAATAAGGTTTCATGACATAAGATTAAATTATTATTGATTAAATATATATGAAATCAAATTATTTGTAAGGTCAGTTGAGTGCTCCTAAGATCTATGTTGTGTATAGTGTTCTTTCGCTTATACTCTTCACCAACTTAATTGATGCAGTACATATCCAGTACGATCGTGTAAAAGATCAACTGGACAAAGTTCAATTACCTTCAAGATTTTTTTAAAGCTCGTTTCTATTTACAACCATTTTTTTAATTTGATTTATTTTATTAGATTATTAATCTCATTTTGGATAATATTCTATTTAAATTTTACCATTTATTTCAACTATATTGGATTACATTTGCATTCAAATATTTGGCAT